ATTTGAGTGATTAAATGTGGATTACGTCGTGTAGTTATTTTGTGAGAAAGGATTAAATACTTGTTGAATTGACATTGGCTTGTCGCGTCATTTGGTGATAGTTAGTAACGCTTGTAGTACACACGGCAGAATAGTCTGACTCTTCCACGAACACAAGATACTTGACATTAGTCACTCTATATAGTGACGCGTGCAGTACACAGAGAAGAATAGTCAGTTTCCTTCACGAAACACGGATACTAATTGTGATCTTTTGTTAACTTATCCAAAACAGTTGCCGGGTTTAGGAAATTAAGGGCGAGGATTGAAGTTAAAAAAACGCGAACGAAATTAAAATTTTCTGCTTTAATCGCCCGTGTAAATTATACGTAACTTTATTTAGTGGCAGGTAGCAACGCGTATAGTACACACGGCAGGATAGTTTTATTCATTCAACGAACCCTGATACTATTTCAGATCTGATGTGAATCTGTTTTGTGTACATTTTATCTTTTTCAACTAATTTGTGACGTTATTGGAGAGCATTAAAGGAATTTTAAAACCATTCAAGGCTTAAACAAAGTAACAAAATACCGTAAGACTCCAAGTTGAAGTGGAAAAACAAGATAAAAGTATGATCACCGAGTATTTCAAGTTGTATGACTATTTACAAGATAATTGATTACCGGTAAAATGTGCTTTCATTGTGAATCTCTTTGAATTGAGGATATTTACGATTGGACTGAAGTATTCTGTTTTAGCTGACTGAAAAAATCATCAAACATCAGTATCAAATATCAGTATCAAGGAGACAAAGAAAATCGATCTATTGATAAAGTGCAAAGATCGTATTTCACAAATTTGAAATATTTAATGATACCTATGACATCGTTGGACAATAGAAGGCATATTGAGGATTTAATGAAAAAGAAGCAAATTAGGACTGAACTATTAATGCAACAATCATATTTCACAAAATTGAAAAATTGAGGATTAATATCTTGACACATCTAGACAACGGAAGGAATATTGAGGATTTAATATCGAGAGACAGTTGTACAGTAAAGGGCATATTTATCACTGAGCTAATAGACATATTACCACACGACGTATCTTCTTCTCAAACATTAAACATGGCGTCACGAAAATCCACCATTAAAAAGAAATCAACGTAAGTTTTAATCAAAAATCATTCCTGAGTTGCCGGGTTTTAATATTATAAAGTTGTTTTTTTATGAGTTTGTTTTCCACATAAACATATATAAATAGTGACGGCATGGTCGTGTGGTTATGACACCAGTAACACGATGAACCCTCAAGGTGGTTCTAAGCTGATACCTCCCTGTCAATAGTTCGCTGGCTTTGGCATGCTTTCATGGTAAATTCCAGTACTATTATTTGTCGTCTTCATATAAATAGTCCATTTGGTGAGGAATTGTAGGAGGTTAAACTCTATTTCATTTCATTTACTATTAATTTGTATGTATAATGACAAAGACAAATGTCTACTCGTTCGGATGGGACGAAAAATCGAGGTCCCGTGTACACATTGGCGTGCACGTAAAAGATCCCTTGGCAGTTGGAATTCGATATAAGAGTAGGGCAAAATTTCCCTCATAGCGCACTGTATGGCGTATGCCCGTCTTCATTAGCCCAGGTTAGGAGCAGAACAGTAGGACGTTAAACCCCATTTCATTTCATTTCATTTTGTATGTATAAAATTTCAATTTCATGGTTTTGGTAAACATAATAAGATAATGCATTCAAGAGCCTTTGGAATTTCTAAACCAAGAGTTGATTGCTTAAAGGGCGTGTATCTCTATTCTTTTGAACCTTATGATAGACGAAATGGATCTAAAAGCACACATGAATGTAATATGAGTGTATATACAATGATTTACATTAAATGTTTTAAACATTTATGGTAATTTCTAATCATTTATGTTCGGTGAAATACAGTATCGAATTAAACGGCAGACATTTGCGCCTTCTTAATCGATTCTATGCCGCTTTTTAAAAATTATTATTTTGTCGTTTGTGAATCAATCATAGTCTCCTGAAATAAGATTTCTTTTTTCGTAACAATAAATGGCGCTAAAAACCACTCTGTCCATAGAATACACGAGGTCGTGTATTGATTTTAAAATATTCATTGCATTTTAAATATTTGATGTTATGACCTCATATTTTCACGATAAGATAAAAATATCAAAATTGATTGAAATTAATTCTAATTCTTGTTTTTAATTTCGAGTTAGGTGTTTATCTCTTTTAATTTAGCGTGTACTCTAATCCTAAAGATACATTATGTAAGATTTAGCCATTCTTGCTATAATAATAGTTCGAAAATAGAATATGTAAAATGAATAATTTGAAAATTTCATTCCAATTACTCTATCGCGAGCGAAGATGTTAGTCATTGAAGGTTTGACAAGACGTGTGCGATAATTTCAACCACCGTACTGGTTGTTCGAAGCTAAGTCTCGCTACTCAATTTTTAAATTAAATCAAAGTATGTCTGAACCGTTCTAATCTATTTAATATCGGAAAATCCGATGTCATCGAGAGTTGATTATGGCTTCGATCAGTTAATTAATGTCTAATTAATAATTTAGAAAACATTTGAGGCCTAAAGAAAGACCTGCAATAGGCAGATTTATCTCTTGCATAATGTATGTTTAAGTTAACATTAAAATATATTATAAAGTATAATATAGAAATAAGCATATTCCCAAATTAGTGGTGCAATTATTTCAGAAGAATGTGAAATGCCGAGCCCCACCACATAACTTGAGTTAATATTAAATCTGCTTATGGTCATTTGAACAATCTTGAATCCCCTGTAAACAAAGTTAGGGCACTAAAAGGAATATCATTCAAAAATAGTTTGAAATCCGTTCAGTATTTACTAGGATATTATTGGACATCGCCACCAGAGGATAAATGTCAGGTAAAATTTTATTGGGACCTCTTTTGTAATCCGACTGGATCCATGCCTGGAATGAATCTACTAATTATCGGGTCTTTCGGGTTGTTAAAGCATAAAGCACATTTCGCGTTGATTTAGTCGCCTTGAGTGGATTAATCCGAGTGCAAAATAGACATTGTCCGATAATTTCTTGATGTACGATCGGGATTATTGGGATTAATAATAACCGTGGGTGGTTTGTGATTTAAACATATAACTCTATCATATTCCATGCAAGTAATAAATGTCAAATTTCATGAGAACATGCTTTATTTCATTGCGAAATCATGAATCTATTGAATAAAAATATGTATTTCTTGCGCCAAGTCACACAAAGCTCTCTAAGTAGAACTTTTAAAACGAAATTAACACATGACTTCCCGCCCATAATATCAACTATAAAATGAGTTTTTAATATACTATTATGCTACACGTCGTCGCCATTTAGCCCTTTTATTAGATATTTTCAAAAGAGAAAGGTGTAAAGGTGTAGCCATCAAACAAAACAGGTGTTCCATTAAGGTAAAACTTCGATTTTAATATCTCTTAATGTGCAATATATACACTATACGTGAAGCGAAAAATGGGGGTCTTAGTGACCTCATAATGGTAGACATAGCTCGTTCAACCGTTATGATATACAACCTTTTAGTCAGCTATTTCTTTTAACTTAGTTTCTTATTTACATAAGGTGAACTAAACTCTTAACCTTATATCATTGTTCAGTAAGAAAGATCTGTCGAGGGGTATAATAAAATCGGTGTATTATTAATTTTATCCACAGTAAGAAAGATCTGTTGTGGAGTACAAAATCGGTGTATTATTAATTTGATCTCTAACAAGAAAGACAAGTCGAGGAGTATAGGACCAACATACTTTGTACTTATGTTTCAACATTTGAAATTCATGTCAGGGGGTGAAAGTTTGTCCAGAGTCTGGGTCTGAAAGTAAAGTCTGTAATTATGGTCAGAATCTGAAAATATTTCAGATGATCATATCGACAATTAACTCATGCAAACTTTGTCTTTTGTATGTATAAACAGTTTCAGCTCAATATCGATTTGAAATGAAATTGTGAATTTTCGCGAATTTTCTTTCTTTTTGTTCTGGCATATACGAATAAGCCATAGAATAATGATTTAAAGACTTTTAAACGCCATGCGTGTGCGTGCGGAAGGGGGGTGGGTGGGGGTTGCTCTAAGGAATATGAGTCCAAAATATTTCAATTCTATTTAGTATTAACAAAGATGTGATGAATTTGAAATTACATAACATTCAGCATACTTTGTAGAGTATATTATTATATCAAGTGTTGGGATAAAATATGTTAATGGGTCTCTTATTAATCAAATTGAATCAAAACCGGGGGATTTATCTACCGTTGACGTTTTGGTATTGTTGTCTTAATTACACAATATTACATACTAATTATATATTGTCCGAAAACTGTTAATGACGTCAGCGGCTTAAAGGTCTGTTGGGTATTATATTTTAGAGGACAGTTAGTTAAACTATCTAATAACAGACAACTTTCTTGATATCATTCACTAATTTTATTAACAACAAAGTGTCAATGAATATAATCTCATCGTGGGTATATCTGTATTGTATATAGCTAGATCAATAATAATATATAAATCACATTCTTGTATACGCTATTAATAGACGAATTAATTTCTAGGGATCAGAAGGATTAGTTTATAATATAATATTTATTAGATTTGGGTATCGCACCGACAAAGAATCACTTACATGGTTATAAGCGGTTACTGTTTTACCAAATTTGAATATTACCTATTCTATAATGGAGTCAGGAGTGGTCAAATGGAAAGCCAGTAGTCGTTTCTGTGTTGTTTGTGTGTGAAATTGGTTAGTTTGACAGAAAACCATGTTTGTTATTAGGGTATCATCGTTATTATGATTCACAACCAAATTATATGTCTATACTATATGTTAGTTTTAAAACGGCCGAAGTAAGGGCTCGAAAAGAACCGCGGAGACATCCTGGTTGTGAGTTCACAATAGTATTAATGATTTACTTTTATCTTTTCAGTAACGCAAGAAGCGCTATGAAGAAAGATATCGCCTGTAATGTTTCCACGGGAACAGAGCATCCCGAAATGGTAGAAGAGGCAAAGTAAGTATACATTTGATTAAATTACGAGGAAACGTAAACTCTAGCATTTAGCAACCTAATATAACAAATACAGTAAATGGGGCTTAACGTCCTATTTTTCACCGACTGGACTAATGACTTTGTAGGAAGGAAATTTACCCGGACAGCGACGCTACGGCCTACTCTTATTTCGTAGTCCAACTGTCAAGGGGGTCTTTATATGCACGCCAAAGTGTACCCGGGACCTCGGTTTTCCGTTCCATCCAAACAACTAGATTCTGACGCTTTTCAGGCTCTTGGTCCTGTACCACCGACAAGATAAACCACATCGGAAACCACAGTACTATCTATCCCTCTAAATACACACCCGCCAAAGAGTGTAACAGTCCGTGGATTTCGCCAAGGGAATATGCCAGACCAACTCTCCGTTGACATAAATTTAATTTGAATTTTACAGTTTAAAGGCCTCTTATCAACCGGGTAAAAAGGGAGGTAACTTCGGCTTGCCCCTTGGTGCCAAGCTAACCGTGCCGGAAGGAGATTTCAACAAAAAGGAGAGCATTACGTGCCAGGTAATTCCGCCGTCACAAAGATGGCGGAACTCTCCGGTGTTGTCAGCAGACGAGAGTATAACAAGTGAAGTGTTTAAGCTGACGTCATCAGTACATATCATGAAGACACCAATTATTGTACAGTTACCTTACTACCCAACCAAAAGTGATCATTCAGAGATAAATGTAAAGGGAAAATGGCGGGGAGAAACTGATTGGGTGGATATCGGATTTCTGCAGAAGGTAAATAGAGCATTGATGAGTTTTAATAGAGGAGGTCAAATTTAAAAAAAAAGTCCTGAATCAAATTTGATTGCAACCGGCAGTAAATAAACACGTATGTGCATGAAACATCTTATCCACTAGAAACGTACACGGGTTGTTATATATTCTACTAACTGCGTTTTTGAAGACGCACGAAGTCATTGTCCGGGATCAAAACTTACATAGTGTTTGTTGTATGGATAGTCATATATACCAAAATATGTAATATTTGTATACAACACTATGCTAATTTGTCGATTGTGCAGTGCCACAATTTCTAGATATGGCAAACTTTGTTGTAACCCCTTTCGATTAACCGGTTGTACTTGACAACGAGTAGGGTCGCCTGTCCAACCTCGTAGATTTTCTTCGGTTTCCCCCCACTGCTAAAGACCCATACGCGCAAGCGAATTATTGAAATTAAATTGAACGATATGCTAGTCTCGAAATGACCTAGTTTGAGTCGAGTGGACGTTAAACCCCATCTCTCTCTCCCTTGTTGTAACCCACAAACAATATATAGTCTTGGCAGCCGTCGCAGAATCTATTATTGGGAAAGTCGAAAATTATATCCCAACTACCAGTTTCACTCTATGATACAAGACTAACAGTTAAAGCTGAACTCCGATTATAAAACTACAGAAATAATCAAATAGATTTGTTATTGTTTTGGGGTAGCCTAAGGCAGTTTTTCTCATATTTTTTAGAGCAAAAGTACACCGTGGTTTACTTATTTCGTCTAATTAGTAAAATAATATGTACCTGATCAAAACATAATAATTGTCTAGCAATAATATTTTCAGTAAACTGATAGTGAAAAAACGTCAATCAGTCAGCTGAAATATTGCTAGCCGGATGTGGACAGTGTGGTTGACAAGGCGTGAACTGGATGTGGGCGTGGCCTGCCTCTTGTTTTTTTACGCCGTACAATCGTCCATGATTGTTCTACAACTTGAAAACAAGTATGGCGATTATTTAGGGTGTTAATTTATTTTTATTTGATTATTTCTGTAGTTTTGTAATCGAAGTTCAGCTTTAACACCAATTTGTACATTTTTGATTTTCCTGGCGTCGACATTGTTTTGCAGTTTTTCAGTTGAAAACAAATCAATGATGTTGAACAATCCAAGTACTGCGACACTAAAACGCCATTTCCCTTTCTTTTTTAAGAGTGATACAACACCACCTAGTGTAGAGCTGGAGATCAATCGTTTGGGTTCATTTGTTGTGACGTTTACAGCCAAGAAAGAAATATTTAATGTTACCCCACAGGGTTGTTTATATAACGCACGTATCAGTCGATATATCAGTTGTCGTTTCCCAAAGAAATCGATCGAGTCAAGTATACAGTGTGCAATTAAGGTGAGTACATTTGTCTCAATTATGCAAGCAAATCATAATAGATCTTGATTATCTCTGTAGTTGTCAGATTCAATCGAAAGGTTCAGTTTAAATGGTCCTGGTCAATGACAGACTCAAGCTTAAGGCCCGGGATCTAGGGGGTCTTCTCACAGGGTGTATGTATGTTTTGACTCTGGCATAAACCCCCCTGTAGTCTTGAACATCCGTTACCGTCCCCATCTTTGCTCAATTGTGTTACAACCACACCTATAGCAGTGAGGATGGGGGATAGGGATGGGGTCCCATAAGTGGAATAGCCTAGGTACTTCTTTTCCTCTAAACCCAGCAATGGTTCTGATCATCATTTGGAATTTCAGACTCGGTTGAATCCGTATATCTGTGTAAAAGCTAATTATATATCCCCCAACTACCAAAACAGAAATGGGGTCTTCTTAACATATCGACTATGAAAAGTTGTTGGACCATATTGATTTGACATTGCCTATGGAGTTTACGGTTTGTTCCCCACTGTGTAGTGTCAATGTACATGTCATGGGTGTACTGTTTGTACCAGAATGTTTTGCGTGGATGGAAGCTGAATATAATCCAATATTGTCGTATACTATACATGAAATAGAATAGTTATTTTTATTATGGTGTAATTCCTTACTATTAGAGTGATCTCCTTTAGATATTGAAGGTCTCTGTAACGATGTGCTTTTATAAAGCTAGTAATTATGGTATCAAAGACTTGTTAACAAAAAATACATCGAAGAATGTATTTCCGTTTTGGGATAACGCCTGTATCACCAGAACAATTACAATCAATAGTATTGTACTATACCGATGGATGTGGCATGAAGTGTTCGCAGAGTACGATGTTTGTGCTGTGCCGATGGAAACCAATTCTATTTCATTGCCGTGCATTTCTTTTTTCAGATAACGCCAGTATCCCCTGAAAAATTACAATCGATGAAACAGCAATATTACCGTGAATGTAATGACCTGGTCACGTTAACGGAATTCATAGATATTACTCCCAACATTCCCTGTAACTTCCGACGAGCTGTTACAATCAAACTACCACTGCCCTCTGGTGTTGAGATTGAGCGAGAACAGGAACCAGATGTTGGTGTATTATTGAAAAACGATGGCAAGTGGGAACCAGTTGAATCGAATTATAAATTTACTAGAACTACAGTATCATGTGAGGTCAGACATTTAGGAAGGTCAGTTGTATATATAATTAATGCTTTTTTTAAAAAAATTATATAACAGTACATTCATAGAGTGAAGACTGAGGTTTAACGTCCACTCGACACAAAATAGGTTACCTGTGGAATAATGTTTTCAATACTTCGCTTTCGGTATGGAACTTTAGCAGTGGGAAGAAACCGGGTACTCCAGGGTAAACCCACGAGGTTAGATAGGCGACCCAACTTTTCAAGTTGTGCAACACAGACAGTGTTTAATATCCCTTTGTACAGTTTCCCAAGGAAGTCCTGAAGTCTGCGTTTGTGTTGTTGTCATATATGCGTATTTTCCAATTTTTATACTCGTTTTATATACATGTACATGTACTATGTTTTATAATTTTCAGCTTTTGTGTTGCAATATCCAAACCAGAAAGGACGCAAAGATTAAAAGAATCTGTACGTGTTGTTGACGGACGCAGTGACCATGATGTTGCTCAGGTCCTGATGTATCTTTCGCTACAGGAAAAATCATGGGTGGGTGTGGTGGAATGTTTGACGGACGCCAAGTCTAAATCAAGGGTCATCGATAGAAAAGACAGAGGGTTCAAGGTCGTACATAAAGTCAAGGTGATACCCCAGGCAGAAGAAAAGAGATACTATGGACGCCGAGCTCCGCCAGAAGTAAAACCTCCCGAAGCTGATATTTTAGAAATATATGACGGTTTTACGTGGGATATTGGCGTGGGATCAGACATAAAAGTTAGCAATGATTCTGATTTACTCGATGACAAAGAACTACGTTATTACAGGTAAGAAGCTCTTGGGATTGGGTCCGTATACTGACTGTCGCGTTTTAGTGTTCTTGGGGATTGCTTAGAATCACGAAAAATCACGCTCCGTGCTATCTGTCGCATTACTGTATCTGTCGGAAGGGATTTAAAGCATGCACCCTCAAGTCCTTATACTAACTGACCCATTACTGTGTCTGTGTGAGTAGATTAGAACCATGCACCATCAAATCTGTATACTAGCTGACCCATTACCGTGTCCTTGAAATTGGGTTAGAATTATTCCTTGTTAAGTCCCCATACTGACTGTAAAATTAATGTTTACTTGAATTTTGCATACCACGCTATACATGTACATCTCAACAGACTCGGCGTCCGAACAATGTATCACCAAAATGACACTAAAGAGACAAATCTTAGAATGACGTCCAAATCCAATCTTTTATATATTCTAGTAACACGAATCTTCTATTTGGCAGAACTAGTTGTAGCTGTTTCTCTGTTGGTCTGCTCGTAAAACTCACAGCTATCCGTATTGGATCAACGCTTGCTCTATGAGAAGCCCCTGGCACAACTTTCAGGTTTATGGAGGGCAAATTATAAAACTTACATGTTTTGATTTCAGGAATTTACCAGAAAGCTACCGGAAGTTCGACTTTGAACCTTTGAACAACGAGGAGAGAACACTAACGGGTGTTGTTGAGCTGATTCCAAATGGTGTTGAGGACGAAAACTTAAAACAGAAAATGACCATAAGATTTGAGTTTGAAATAGATGAAGAAACTGTTCGAGCCTTCTTCAAACCAGAATATGTCCCAGAACCAGAGAAGATCCGAGTGACGTTTGACCTACCTGAATTACAACCAATCAAAGAAGAGAAACCTCTAGCACCACCAATGCAGAAAATAAAGACCATATCGACATCTGTAATGGACAGATTAACAAAACCAATTAGAAAACCCAGAATAAGTAAGTTGACTCACTGAATATTAATTTGGCTAAATGCTATCAAACCTTTCTTCAATAGCCATTCTGCACATAGAGAACTTTCTACTTTGAGAATAGATTCTTGTCCTGAATGGCCGCCATGTTGTACAATTAGTGTACTATTTTGTTATGCGGTTCTTATCCCTTTTCATTTTTCATACACACAATTTAGTATGCATTATTATACAACTAAAAATTGCAATATGCGTACAGTACGTCATCTTTATTTTTCAGTCGATCGAGAGGCTCGAGTTATAACCGGAAAGAGTTTAATGAATTTATCCCGACGAGTACCAGAAGGTTTGACCTTGGCCGTACACCTCGATTTACCAGATAGTACCATAACCGGACTTGGATTCGACGCCATATCTAACGGTCTTAACATGGCGGACGTAACGTACAAGATTTTATTATACTGGAAGCGGAAGTTGAAAGATAAGAAAGATGCCGCAGTAAATGAATTGGCAGAGGCTCTAAGCGCCATGGGCAGACCGGATATCACAGAAGTTTTATTGCAGTGTCATAAAGATAACAAAGAACTAACTGAGGAATATTTGAACGAAGCAGTGTATTAATCCTGTTGTATTCATCATTATCAACCGGATGTGATGTCATAGCATCCTGTGTATTAACGGTCCCACTCACTGTAAAAATCACGACCTCATGCATTGCCCGCCTTACGTAATCATAATCATAATATTACATGTTATAATCTAAACCAATCCCGTTCGTATAAATCGCAATGTCTGTCGCCTTGAATTTGATATTAACATTTTCAGTGTTTTATCATCGTTCAAAGCAAACATTAATGTCGTGCAAAATGTATCTTACCCTTTCAATCAGTTATTATCCGCTTTGAAAACGTGAACAATTATAGCAAAAGATAATATTGTCATTGAAACCGCAAGTTGAAGCTAATTTATTATTATTTTATTTTATTTTATTTTATTATTTTTTTAGGAGGGGGGGGGCGGCTTTGAAACTGAATTATTTATTTTTTTTATCTACAAAAGCAAAATTATTGGTAAGATATTTTATTATTTATGCAACAGTTACCTATTGTTTGTTTTTTATTCGTTTGCAGCCTTTACTATATTATCAGCATTATGAAGTGTCCAATAGTTTATTATCTTATCTGGTCATTGTATCGTATTAGACTAACTGTTATTAATATCCTTAGAAATACAAACAAGATGGAATGTTATTTTATGGACAGGGATCTCGGCACAAACCGTTACTCATCTTTTTCCTAATGTTGTTGTTCAGCTTCTTCTTGGTTGGAACGACATTCTTCGGGGGGGAAAAACTTATAAAATAACCATTGACATTCTTGTTCCTTGGCCAATTGCGCATCGAATGACAGCTTTCGTTATTTTATATGACGCCAAAATTCCAAGATGACTGGTCCATATCGCATGCTGACAAACACTATAATATACAGACTGCAGTTGTTCTATAACTTTTTACGTCAAATAACAGATGAATAATGTATTGTTTAGAAGTTTCAGGGGACATAACTATAATATTAATGTTTTAGCAGGCCACTAAAGACTGGGCTATTGAAGACAAACATGCGCCAAACAGTGTGCTTGAGGGACATTTTTGCCGGGACAGCGGCACTACGGTCTACTCTTATATCGAATTACAACTGCCAAGGAACCTTTACGTGCACGCCGATGTGTCCATTGGAGGTCGGTTTTTCGTATCATCTGTCCTGCACCACTGACAAAGGGAAACCACGCCGGAAAATAACGATGAACTTTCTCGGCCAATTGTCGGGATCAAACATCCGACCTCCAGGTTAGCCAGCAAACGTCTCACCCGCTGAACCACCATGGCTCCTGTTCAGTAATGAGCCATCGGGAATATTTTGATGGTCTGTACATATACACACGTCTGTGATAAAAGAAATATAAAATAAACAAGTGTTTATAATGTTTATACAATATTTTTGCATTTCTATTTTAATTTTATCATTTATTGTCTATTTTTTGAATTTAACATTTCCGTCCAATTTTTGTCATTTAAATGCCCTTTTTTATATTATTAACCTAATATTTTCGTCAAATTTTTAAACGACTGTACATCTTTGCATTTGTTTAAAACAAATTTTATTGTCTAGCAAAAGTGCTTTAATTTTTTTGTGTATAATTCTTATATGTTTTCATTCTGTTTGTTCATCATCATTGGTGATTTTTTGTTGACAATAAAATATTCATATCAAAGATTTAGGTATCATTTTTTATCGTCTTGGATTTTGAGGATTTAAAACTGTATATGTTTTTGTGAAGAAAATGAAATATACTAAACTTGGGCTGTCTGTCTACAATAAGCTCCTCTTGCGAACCGACACTAAGCAGAATGACCGACAATATTGGTGTCAGTCATTATTACATATGTGATAGAACTGGTTAAACATATTCCACATGTAATTTTAACACAGAGATCATTGCAATGAGAGATGTGTAATATAACAAACGCTTGAATAAACTGGAAGTCACGACAAACTGACTGAAGTAACGAGCAATAACAGACACACGATCGGATTTCATTTCACTGATAATTCCGTTAAAGATGAAAAGTTATTATATGAGACGGCGAGAGGATATCCCACAAATGAAAATAGAATTGCCTGTCACTAGATAAAAGAAAACGAGAAAAATCCCGTGCATTCCCCTGTTTTTATTCATGCTGTTCTTAATATAAACATGGTAATACACGGACTTTTTCTAATTTTAATTTTATTAATGAAATATTTGATTGGTTTCTTGTCAAAACTGGTATGTCGTCTTTTAAAATTATTTGTTTTTGTTTTAACTTTTCTGTAACCTTTGAATAGACATGGCTTTATTACAGATTTCATGCATTAATGATTTTATTTAGAAATGCTATTGTTTTGAATAGACCTGACTGTATTCAAAGATTTCATTAATTAATGATTTTATTGAGAAATGCTATTCAATGATTTCATGAATTAATTAGTTTTTTTGAGAAATAAACCACTTTAACGGTAAACGTTGTTACTGAAATAATTTATATCTTAAGTACATATTCCCATGGGTTGTCATCTGGCAGTGATTTATTTTTACCACCGATCTTCCCCTCAATAAAACATCCTGCTTTGAAATCCGGGCTTTGAAAAAATACTATGTAGCCTTGTGGATTGTTTGGGGAAACGTAGCTGCCATTATGATCAAAGACCACTTTCGATTTCTGTTTCAAAAGTTCTGTATTGTTGACGTATTTCCACCACCACCTAAAGCACGAAAATTACAAAGCAGAACATCGTCAGGTGCAGGTGACTGTGAAGGTTTGTTTGGCCTTTGATCGACTTTGGATGTTTCTTTGGACTGTTAATGATACTGAGACACGGTTATAAATATAAATATGTTAATTCTGTTATATTTTGGTAATAAAAATGTAAGCGTATTATCATGCTATCGGAAATCAAATTCTGGAAATGTTCACGGAACACCGAAAGACCGAAAACCTTGCTTCACCAATAAAACCTTAAATAGGCCCCGACCACCTGTTCAACGTGAATAATGAAGACGCGTGCGATGAAGCAAATGGGAACAGATACGGCAACTCTTATTATTTCAAATTCTAATTGACACGGGGAATCCATGCCGGAAAATTCAGGGCTATAACCATGGAACTTATTAAGCCCGTGCTCCATTCACTGCGCCACCTTCCAATTGATAAGTGAGATCGTGAACAGAAAACGGATTACAGACGCATTATGTAAGAATTTAATCTGCCTACCTCAGGTCCTTTTTGGCTTTAAATGTTATATAAACTATTATTTAAACATTTATTCAAATGACAAGTCTATAACACCCTCTCTAGACTATCGGATGGCGGAGATTTAAAAGTATTGAAACGCGATCGCCATTTAATGTTTTAATTTGAAAGTGGCGAGTCGAGGCTACCCAATACCACCCAATGCTACCCAATACCACCCAATGCTTCCCAATACTAACTTAATATTAAACAATACACAAAACTCAGTATTACCAAATACTAACTCTTATAATCCAAAACAGACACTACTATTAAATCTTACATCGAATTCCAACTATGAAGGGTTCTTTTAAGTGCATGCCAGTGTGTACACGGGACCCCGGTCTTTCCTCCCGTCCCAACGACAATACGTCTGCGCCACTGACAAGGGGAAACCACTCTGGAAAGTCCCGATGAAGTTTCCTCTCGGCCAACGCTGGCGATCGAACATGCGAATCCCGTTTAACCCCATTTAATTTACTAATTCGTCCAAGAATGCACCCCACCTGTTCTGCATGGACGTAAACACAAAATAAAATAGAATTTTTTTATATCCAGATATACTTCTAACACATATATTTTTGTTGTTAATAATTTAAAAAATTGTTTTAGAATTTAATTTGCAGAAAGGTTAATAAATTTGCCCCGGTGTCACTACTTTCGGTGATAGTAGCGCGCAAGCGATTATATACTGCTGATCAGCGTGGAATGCATGGCAATAAACACACATACATCAGAAAAATCACGGAATGGCCTGGTATGTAACCGCAATGTCGTCATTTAATTACCCAGAGGCCGCTTTTTGTTTTGTTGACAAGGCCAACTGCACGACAACATTGCTTTCATCCCCGAACCTATGTCGAACAGGCGGCGAGCACTCGGGCCCGGATGACAGTCAAATCTAAACTTACATACCTTACGTAAGATCGTAGCATTTATCGCAAAGCGGGCCAGACTGCGCATGCTCGTCATTCTTTCATTTCTTACACCCGGATCTTCTCCTTTGGATGAAACTCACCTTGGACGCTGCCCTGCAAAGACATTGTGTCTTAACCAAAAGAGCTGGATCAAGCCTATTTTGTGGCTTCCTCTGGTAAGTTTCTTAGGAAAGACTTGTCTACGATATCATCCTTATTAGAGGAAGTGGCCGTAAAACCCCAGGAACGAACGAACGATTTAATTACCGTTTGTCGGTGTTTATAGTTATCACCTGTTCCGTCATTCAAATGTAACCGCAATGTCGTCATTTAATTACGTTTGTAATGTGGGTTTATATAGTTATCACCCGTTCCGTTAAATTTGACTCAGAATTAGCGTATTCATTTCAACTGTAATTGTGCAACCAACTGCCGTCTCGTGTATGCACACTGTGCAGGTCTATATCATACCACAACAACCAATACCAAGATTCGGAACTATATTTATTACAATACAGTAAACAATAAAAAACACAATCTACAAATTATAGATAATACGGAAAAGGTGAATTAATTTGATAATTCAAAACCCCTTTAAATAAAAATGTTTAAAGTTTAGATTTAAAATTTGTTAAAGAGGTATAACAGCAGATGGAATTACATTGCTGCGGTGCTTGATATGAACAATATCGCTCTCCTTAATTTTAAAGGTTGCATGTATTTTCGGTCGATATAGTTTGTCGTTAAGTCACAGTAGCTTTCGAGAAAGCGTTTAAATCGTTAAAAAGACAAGTAAAAAGGTACTAAAACATTTAGATCCTTTACCAGTGCTACAGACATGTCACCAAAAGAAATATCGCTATTATCTTTTTTTTATCATCACTAAACTTTCAAATATTACTTGACATCCATTTCACTGACACAGTATGCCAAATGAAATCAAGGGCTCGGGAGCCGGGAGGAAGGGGGAGGGGGCAGATTCGGTGAACCGTCCATTTTTCGGGCACAAACATCAGAGAATAGGGGAACATTAAGATGTTCTTGCTTACCAGTTTGTAAATTTATATTGTTGTGCAATTGTGTAATTAATTAAAAATAAACAACAACCATCACAGTTTTGTGGAAAATTCGTTGCAGTTAATGATTGATTCATTCTGAAAATCGGGCGACAGAAAATTTTCGGACAAAAGGCCTCAGAGCCCCCCCCCCCGCGCCTATCCAACACACACTTCCAACTGAAATTGACCCCATCTGTCTATGAATTGTTTGGAAGAAATATACAGCTGCTTAACATCTGCATAAAGCTGATATTGGATGTTTTATTTCTTAAGGGTGAAGATCAACGATTTTCACCGAGATCTGCATGAATTTTAAATATATATTTATAAACAACCACCCCTGTAACCACGTGATGTAAACCGTTAATTACGTGGAGTACCGTTCAGTGTATTAAACGTGTATTAAATACATAATTTTATAATATCTTAATAAACAGTCCCTTTTGTCGGCCAGATGTTCAGCCAAAAGACGACAAGAGAACAAACTACCACGCTAATCGTACCCAAAATCTGTGTGCTATCCATAGTGACCAAGGAATGTTGTGAACCACGTGTACTAATTGGATCACTTCCGGTTTTAATAAAAAATCAATTACTCGCTACCAAAATGTTTGTATATATTTAAAACTATTGGAAAACTTGTTCAAAATTGTTGGTCTTCCCAAATGCGAGGTATACTTAATAATAAGTCTTATATAAGGCCTACGTCTTCCGATGTTTTGCCAGTGACAACAGCTATCTGATTGACAATAATTTAAATTATTGATTTAGGTTTGAATGACAGATGACTTACAGTATCTGAAGAATAAGTCGATTTTCATACAACCACATCCAACATACAGATGCCTTAATCCAAACAATATGTAAAATAATTCGCATATACGCTTCAAAAAAAAAGTAGGGGATATTAAAATGCAAATAACTATGCAGATTGTGATATGATAAATAATCATGGACACTTGACATGCTTTGAGTTCACAGATGAAGAACTTATCGCACCAACAGAACCACTGAGCTGCACATGCGACACGCAATAGCGCTATACACGTGGGAGAGGTTCATTGTCAAATTTGACACTTCAAGGACGGGTTGGTAAAAACTGCCGCGTGCTGGTTTATCTATTCATGTTTGCATTCCTATCGGTTCTTCCATAAGATTTACTGTTTAGCTTATCTTTGCTTTAGTGTTAGGGGGGTTGGATGGCCGAGTGGTTTGCACGTGCATGCTGTATCATAAGCCCTATCATTGAGTCAACTGGCGTAGTTTCGAATCCCCGGTTGTACGTGACAAGGAGTAGGGTCGCCTGTCCAATCTCGTGGGTTTTCTCCGGGTCCTCCCGTTTCCTCCCACTGCTAAAGACCCCTGCGCGCAAGCGAAATATTGAAATAAAATTGAACCATAGGTTAGTCCCGAAATGACCTAGTTTGTGTCGAGTGGTCGTTAATCCCCATTTCTCTCTCTCGCTTTAGTGTGTTACGTTTAATTTGATCGGGAGACGTGTTCGTCGACGTCAACCTCAACCGACAACACTGCAAGAATTGGCCGTGTCACTGCAAGAGGAGTGGGTCGGATTGCCCCAAATCGTGATTGGACGGTTGATTAGGAGCATGCCACGACGAATTGCTGGAGCATTATTAAGACAAAAAACAAAAACGTCCATTTTCACTTTTGACGGTGTATCTCTTTGCGAGTGAAATGGGGCCGTCAGATAAGTCGTCCATATGAACTGTTTATGTTCATGTGTAGGCAATTGGCCTGTTATTAACATACATTGGTTACCTCTAATAAAACTGTTTATGTTCATGTGTAGGCAGTTGGCCTGTTATTAACATACATTGGTTACCTCTAATAAAACAGATAAAACAGTAGTTCATTTCCGCAGTTTTGTATTGTTTCTGAATATCCCCTACTTTTTTGAAGAGTATATAACGCACCTGTTTTATATGACACTAGTGAATCTGGAAGATGCGCCAATAAACCCAGTAGATTTAACTTCTAAATGTCTGTAGTAATTAAAGCGGAAAATAATTATTACAATATCTTATTCTGATTAAATAATACATTTACATAGACTGATATGAATAATTCTCAAATAAAATTACATTTGATTGAGTATAGTCTTAAACTCTATATTTAACCTTTATTCTGTCTTAAACACAAGAAATCA